GTCAAACAGATGTATGCAATAGTATAGATACTAAACAAACTATAGTCTTGGTCAAAATCATTTTTTTCTCTATATATTCTGAATTTCTGTATCCAGCCTTGATAACCACCATGCCTTATCAGGGAGGAAGTAGGCCTAGGTACTGAAATGATCTCATGACTCCTATCTCTCCTCTAATTGGTGGAATTGGTGTTGTTTCAACTCTCCCCATGTTACAACCATACCTGGACTTCCCTACAGTAGATATATGAATAATTAATGACAGACAGACAGATAGATAGATGAGATACATGGATAGAACAGTTGCTAGGTCACATTCGCTGTTTGGGGGCGGGGTTTAGCTGACGGTACATTCCCTTTGATCTCTGACGTCAGGTGCCTTTGATGAATTACATTTCTGTCATTGAAACGTCATGAATTCACTCCACAAACACATCCATTCATGTAAGCCAAGCCAATCATCAAATATAATTGATCTTTATCAGTAATAAATAGGCCATTATTATTACCATTATTATTAGGAATGGCATAGACAAAGAGTGTACCGAAAGTTACGGTCGACACGTTTAGTCCACTGATGAAAGATGTGTGCAAACTTTGACAGAGAACAAGTCAGACCACCTCAACACAGGTGAACCATGACGAACAGTTAGCTACATATAGAAGAACTTAAAAATGTCAAACTCTGAGGACCACTGTCAGTCACTAGCCACATCTGTGGGCTACATATGGCAAAGGTTTCTTTGCGCTAGCCGACTCCGTAAAGGCCTTCAATTATTCAGCCAGGAACAAAAACAATGTCTGTCAGGATACTTGTGGAGTAAGTAATAGCTTTGGAAAGCAAGAGGCCATCATTGAACACATGTTAAAAAACATACGGGCCGAGGCCAAAGGCTTAGATTTTCAAATCACCCCAGAAACTTTTAAATACCTCCACAAGTCCGTTTTCAAGGACATGTGCCAGAAGTGGGGCTGTGCAAAGATGATACTGATCTGCATGAATTTAGAAGAATCAGTGGCTGACAAATGCATCGCCTCCTCTTTCAAAGACCACCTGAACAGACCACAAAAGAAGAAGCCTAGTGCCATCTACAGGTTCTTCTGCAAAATGGGCAAAGGCGTCTCCAAGTCCTTCAATGCACCCTCCCTAGAAGTAGGTTTTCGTGTTTTTTAGGCAACATTAGAATACGGAAGCCCTAAGCGGCCATCAATTCAACTATTTTTTTACTCCGTTTTCCCGTGATAATGGGATCATTATCTTGAGATCTCCAGATAAAGAATGTTGTTTTCCTGTACACCAGCTATTTTTTCTTTTTTTACTTCATTTCCCCATTATTCCCAGGCAGAGGAAATTCATCTGCTTCTCATTCAGAGGAATCCATTTAACATTATACATTTCTTGACAGCTATTTTGGAACCTTTGTAATAGCCGTTGGGAAATGTGTGATTGGATTCCCCTGAATCTCTTCATAACAACTTTGTTGAAGAGGATAATAAATAACAAACAAAATAAGAAAAGAAATTATTGAGAGCAGGAGTTAAACCTACAGTCCTTGAATTGCCAGTCCTACACTCTACCAACTGAGCTAACCAGTCACACTGAAAAGCACAGAGAAATTATCCTAAAGAAACACACCGGCCAACTCCTGTATTCAGCTGTGGTTTGTTATCTCGGGAAAACTATCCGTTATCACGGGAAAACAGTCGAGATCACGAGATAATTGTCACACTGCCTGTCTGATCGGCCCGGTTTAGTTTAGGTCTCTGTGAGTTTTGTTTTTTAGTCTGTTCAGTATCTGTTATCTAGTATGTATTTTGAGTTACAGTTAGATTCTTGCCTTGTGTTTTGAAACTTGTTAGTATCTGTCTGTTTTCCCCTGCCGTCTCTGCCTGCCTGTCTGCTGTCTTTATTAGTATCACCTGTTTGTGCTCCCACCCTCCTCATTAGCCAGTGCTTAAATGTGTGTGACTTCTGTTCAGCTGTTGCTGGTTCGTTGTATGTTTGTTCACTGCTGTTTGTCTTGCTTGCCTGCCTGTTTCTGCCTTGTTTTTGGATTACCCCTTTGTTGAACTCTGGACTCTGCTGTAAATTCTGTGGGCTTAAATAAATACCCAAAAAATGTACCTGTCCTGCGTTTGGGTCCTAAAACCTGTTCCTGCCAGCACACACGACAAATTGTGACAATAATTATTCCATTATCACGGGAAAATGGACTAAAGAAAATATTTGAATGGTTGGCTGCTCAGGGCTTCCGTACAATGGTGCACACTGACTTTAAGAAATTTGTGAATGTAAATATTTATATATTGAAACTGGTGTAAGAAACTCTCAAATTCTGACTTGTAAAACATTTGTTTTTGTGGTGTTATTGATACGGTGACTTTCTAACAATAAAGCCATTATATTGGAGCAAGTGAGTTCTAGACGGTTAATCTGATAAGTAAAAATGAATAGCTCGATGCAAATGAGTGTTAACATACATATATAATAGTTGCTTAACACCCCAAAACTTAATGTATCTACTAGGCCTAAGTAATATATGTAATGACGTCATGTGTGTTTGCTGTGACCTTTGCTGGAGAATGGCAATGCAAGGGAAGTAACAGGACCTTGTGAATGATCTCCTTGCCTCACTGTTTATTAAACGCTTCATCTCAACCCACACACAATCCTACAGTAACACAAATGAGTTCTAAGTAAAAAGAACACAGTTCTGGCTGAGCAACAGACCATTTGAACATTGGACTTAAGGCAACCTCAACAAAGAAATAAATGTCAGTAACATCAGTAACAAGCCCATTATATTTTGTCATGCATTGCTGTATATTTTACAGATATTTACAGCATTTTTATACTAGAGATGTACACACAGGGAACAACAGTTATCCTCTAAAATATTGAGGGCCTCTAATTTTATAAATCTCTTCTGTTATTGGCGACCTGTCCATCAGCTGGGATTGGCTCCAGCCCCCTGCGACCCTGTACGCAGGATAAGCGGTTGAGGATGGATGGTATCTTCTGTTGGATTAAACTTTACATGACTGCTGTTCTTCTAAATTTAAGACGTCATCTGAAGATTTGTTTTTTAGGAGTTCCACATAGTGAACTGCCACATAGTGAAAACATAGTAAACATCAAATAGTGAAAATCATCCAGAGCCCAAGGTGATGTCTTCATATTTGTTTGCTTTGTTCAACCCTCATTCTGACAGAAAAACAGCGAGAACCATGCGGGGGCCAGAAACAAACATTCCACTATTGCTTTATAACACACTTGACTTTATAACAATTGATGATCAATTGTTGTTTATTAGCTTTTAAATTATATTCTGTATGTATAAAGACTTTTCATGCACTTTCTTATTCACTGTCAGCCACTCTATGCATCTAAAGAGCATCTGTTCATTCTGCACATATTGGATGTAACAAGATGTTTATTGGCTTTGTGGAAGTATTACTAAAAACAAATACTTAGATCTTTAATGGCGTTCAATGAGGTCAAATGTTGCTCTGCCAAGTCAGACAACATCCACACAACAAAAAATTATTTTAGTAATTTATTTGGCTGTAGGCGGATGTAGACATGAAAGGCAACACAGCACACGAGTCAATGCAATGTCTGGATAGAGACAGCTGAGACGAGGAGTTTAAGAAATAGGAAAGAGGATGGCTAGATTCATTTCAATTGGGCTTTGTTGGCATGGGAAACAGACATTTACATTGCCAAAGTGTTAATTAAAAACATACATAAACCATTCATAGAAGATCCAAAAGACTGTTTTATAGGCTGCCTTTATATTTGCAGTAGGTGATGCAACACCGAAAAACGGGATTGACTTACCAAGTTGACGGCCAGTGTCGTGTGACCGCCTAGCATGATCGCACTTTTTAGGGTTAATGAAAACATATCCTGGGTCTGCTGAACTTGCTTCATAGTGTAGGCCCAATGTTTTAGATGGCTGGACATCAAAGGCATCAGCATCAGTGACAATCTGGCAAAGAGTGGGTAGAAATCGGCTGGTAAATATTCTGGCAGGCTGATTAGGGAAGTGAGAAGCAGGTGAGTATGTGGGCGGCGAAGGTCAGTTGATGGAAAGGGGATACTGCTGTCACTGTTTACCCATGACTCCAGCTATGTTTTTGGGTATCTAATCTAATCATCAAGCCACCTGCGCAAATACTCATGGTCTCCTGTCATTCATCGCCAGATTGTGCAGACTGCTTAGTGGTAACTCAACTCTAGGCCAAAGAACTTTGCTTAAAGAAACCTCTTGTGTTTTTGTCTTAGTATTTTACTAAAGTAAGTTTTTCCTTGTGCTTCAGAGCTCTGGTGCTAGTGTCTCCTGCACTATTCAGCTCTGCTTCAAACCAGACCACTATCATTCAGCTATCATCTCCACTCATCTGCCTTCCTGCCACCGCCTGTTATGCTATCTTTTTGTTATTAAAATACTTTTTATCTGAACATCCACCTGCGAGTTTTTGTCTGCCATTGGGTCCGCTAAAACAAAACAACTGCAGAGAAGGAGGGAGTGGCTGGACCTGAAATAGGACTGGGACAGGTGGGAAATTCTGAAGACACCTGGTAAATGGATGGAGAATGGCAATGCAAGGGGTTGGGAAGAGAGAGGACTGAGGAAGACTTTGTGAATGATCTCATTACCTCACTGTTTGTTAAACACCGCATCTCAATCCATGCAAGTCATTGACCGATGACTTATGAGCGCTGTGCTGACCCTACATGTACTCACTCCAACAGTAACATGAATGAATTCTGAGTAAAAAGAGTAAAGTTCGGTTTCGCAGGAAACAAACAGTAATCACCTCAACTACTGAGGGCCTCTGATTGCTCAACCAAGGCAGGTGACACGGTTCAAAAAATAAGTTTGTTGTTTTTCTCGTTCATTGATTAAAGGAGTGAGTACATATGGGGACACCACGGCAAACATAGGTCATGGGTCGATACACTGAGCTGAAATGAGGAGTATAAGAAACGGTGAGGCACGGGGATAGCTATACTTCACACTCTCAGAACATCAGAGACGGCTGGGCAGAAATACTGATAGGATGGAGAAAGCAATGATCCTTGTTTGTGTGCTGGTCCTTGGGTGGACCTGGACCCTGCAGGGGGTCCCTGCACCGGGGGACATTGATCAGGTGAGTGACTGAGCCCTCATGTTTGTTCCAAAATGGACTTTCTTGTTGACTATATACATGTTATTTTTTTCCTTCATTGTTTTCATGTAAGGCTGCCATACTGGATACTGGAAAAACTATTAATTTATAGGTTCATGCCACATGTCGGTTTTAATACTGTGATTTTTATGTAACCTTTTAATGGTGATGCTGATGAAATGTGAATAAATTGGGACAGGACAAAAAGGAAAAGAACATCTTTGATTTAATGCTGTGGATAGGAAGATAATAATATCACAGAATGCAACTGAGCTTCAGTGAAATGCTGGAATAATCTATTACAGAAACTGTGGTGTTGTCAAGCAAACAGAAAATTTATTTAACTTAATTGTGAAACCAGTTCAAGTGAATTTTATGTGGAAAATTTGGAATATGAGGTTTAAAGTGTGATTGTATCTGAGTCTGTCTGGGGTTGTAATACATCAGGTGGCTCCTGCAGTCGTGGAGGATCGTAGTGTTAATTCTCTGTTCAACAGAACAGGTAAGAGATTAACTTACTTAGGAAGAGTAACTGCACACCATGGTACATTTATATTTAGTTGTGCAATGATGATGATGAATGTGTTCTGAATTGAAGAGAGATCCTGATTCCGACGTTGATCAAAGCAGCAATACTAGTGGCATGTTTTAGAGTCAAGTCCTAACTAATGATCATCTTCCTTCGTTGTGCTATTCTCTCTCTCTGTGTTTCTGTAGAGGTCTGTGAAGCAGCACCGGAAAAAGGGCTTTGTTTGGCGTATATACCGCGTTACTTCTACAACTCCTCCTCAATGAGCTGTGAGGTCTTTATCTATGGAGGGTGTCGGGGAAACCTGAACAACTTTGAAAATGAGACACAGTGCATGCAGAGATGTCAGACCGAAGGTGAGGAGTGAAACACAAAACACAATATGTTTCACATGTCTTGGAGCGCTGCGATTGGCTCCTTCATAGCTGACACATGCAGTGCCATTAATCCCCTTATTTACATCAACATTACATTCTGAATTTCTACAGTGAATTAAATTTACTAGGAGAAATTGTTTCTGTCCACAACTTAAATGCAGACAACCATTTAATACAATAATTAAAAAATTACTGTAAGGGCAATATAATGTTACTTAGACCAGCCGCCAGAGCCGATCCTCACCTTGCTGGGACCCCAATCAAAACTCTGCTAAGGATACCTCCTACCTGACCTGTGAACCATGTAAACCATTTACCATTGTCACACCTGACACCCCAGACTCCCACCACAATCCTCCACCTTTAAAACAGTTTGCTCCATCTGTTGGTCTAAGAACATCTCTGTTATCATCTAACATCTACTAAACTTGGGCATAGCATGTGTAAATTATACATAATGATACTATTGATTTTATGAGCTGCATCAAGCCCATTCAAGCTGGCTCCCCCCAGATTTTATTCTACACATTTAAAAAATTACTATTCATACTGTGGATTGAATGATACCCCACATCCTCTCTCTGAACTACTCAGGTTGGAGGTGCAGGTGGAGGAACAAGTCGAGAGCTTTAAATCACCACCTGTTCCTTACACAACATGTAGATGGGGTTTACAAAAAAGACCCTCCTTCTGAAGAGGCTGAAAGGTTTTAATGTCAGACAGGATAATTTAACAACAGTATACACTTGATGAATCAGTTCTCACATTCAACATTGCATCCTGGTACAACATCCTCAGAAAAAGCAGGATTCATCAAACATACAACAAAAATCACCAGCACCACTCAAATCCAACTTTCAGACCTTTACAGCCACGCCGTTAAAAGAAAGGCAGACTCAATCACTAAGGACCCTTCACATCCCCTTCACGACTCATGTCAGCTACTCCTACTGGGCCGCCGCCTCAGGGCACCTCTGGCTAAAAAGAGAACTCACAAAAACAATTTTATTTCCAATGGAATATTTATTTTTAACACGGCCAAACAGACTGCCACTACTGGTTAATGCAGCTTTGCACACCTGCTCCTATTTATTACTGGAAGTGGTTGTGTTGTAATTCAGTTTTAATATAATTTTATGTCAGTCTTTCATGGGTGTATGTTTTTATGTTGTATGTGAGCCCCAAACCTAAGACAATTTTCTATCATATTGTGATAGACAATAAAGTTTTTGAAATTGAATTGATAGAAGTTGTCTTGTTATAAAATTATGTGTGCCTAAAAGTGGGTTTCATTTTGCGCACATTTACATGAACGCTTCTTTACACGTGACTCAATTATCTTTTCTGAGCTACAGTTTACAAGCACTTTTGCCTATTGGTATTTATGATTCAAGCGTAATAAATTGCTGTATTTCACTCTCACTTTTGTCAGACATAAAATCACTGAGCCCTACAAGTAGCTGGCAAGCAAGCAAGACATAGACAGACCAAGAGATGCACAGCAGGCTAGCACACTAACTTAACCATACTGTTATTTACTGACATCAAACTTGGAGAGGAGAGAACACAAATTTACATTTACGTTGTATTTACCCCATTGATGCCATACGTACTGTTACCTCTTGCTAGTATTTATTGCTGCCCTTACTAGTATGTATTGTCAGTTGTCAATCTCGTGCTGTATTGATGCTTTGTTGATGCTTGTACAGTGAGGAAAATAAGTATTTGAACACCCTGCTATTTTGCAAGTTCTCCCACTTAGAAATCATGGAGGGGTCTGAAATTGTCATCATAGGTGCATGTCCACTGTGAGAGACATAATCTAAAAAAAAAAAAAATCCAGAAATCGCAATGTATGATTTTTTAACTATTTATTTGTATGATACAGCTGCAAATAAGTATTTGAACACCTGAGAAAATCAATGTTAATATTTGGTACAGTAGCCTTTGTTTGCAATTACAGAGGTCAAACGTTTCCTGTAGTTTTTCACCAGGTTTGCACACACTGCAGGAGGGATTTTGGCCCACTCCTCCACACAGATCTTCTCTAGATCAGTCAGGTTTCTGGGCTGTCGCTGAGAAACACCGAGTTTGAGCTCCCTCCAAAGATTCTCTATTGGGTTTAGGTCTGGAGACTGGCTAGGCCACGCCAGAACCTTGATATGCTTCTTACAGAGCCGCTCCTTGGTTATCCTGGATGTGTGCTTCGGGTCATTGTCATGTTGGAAGACCCAGCCTCGACCCATCTTCAATGCTCTAACTGAGGGAAGGTTGTTCCCCAAAGTCTCACAATACATGGCCCCGGTCATCCTCTCCTTAATACAGTGCAGTCGCCCTGTCCCATGTGCAGAAAAACACCCCCAAAGCATGATGCTACCACCCCCATGCTTCACTGTAGGGATGGTGTTCTTGGGATGGTGCTCATCATTCTTCTTCCTCCAAACACGGTTAGTGGAATTATGACCAAAAAGTTCTATTTTGGTCTCATCTGACCACATGACTTTCTCCCATGACTCCTCTGGATCATCCAAATGGTCATTGGCAAACTGAAGACAGGCCTTGACATGTGCTGGTTTAAGCAGGGGAACCTTCCGTGCCATGCGTGATTTCAAACCATGACGTCTTAGTGTATTACCAACAGTAACCTTGGAAACGGTGGTCCCAGCTCTTTTCAGGTCATTGACCGGCTCCTCCCGTGTAGTTCTGGGCTGATTTCTCACCTTACTTAGGATCATTGAGACCCCACGAGGTGAGATCTTGCACGGAGCCTCAGTCCGAGGGAGATTGACAGTCATGTTTAGCTTCTTCCATTTTCTAATGATTGCTCCAACAGTGGACCTTTTTTCACCAAGCTGCTTGGCAATTTCCCCGTAGCCCTTTCCAGCCTTGTGGAGGTGTACAATTTTGTCTCTAGTGTCTTTGGACAGCTCTTTGGTCTTGGCCATGTTAGCAGTTGGACTCTTACTGATTGTATGGGGTGGACAGGTGTCTTTATGCAGCTAATGACCTCAAACAGGTGCATCTAATTTATGATAATAAATGGAGTGGAGGTGGACATTTTGAAGGCAGACTAACAGGTCTTTGAGAGTCAGAATTCTAGCTGATAGACAGGTGTTCAAATACTTATTTTCCTCACTGTATGTTGTTCCTCAAATGTAAGTTGCTTTGCATAAAAGCATCTACCAAATGAGAAATGTAAAACTAAATGTACATGTGTCCATGCAAATTTACAGCAAATCCCCACCCAGATATTATAAAAGCATTTGATGTCTTTTTGCTCTTTTAACAGGAACAGGACAACCAAGACAAACTGGAAAAGTATGATTTCCCTTTGATTTAATGCTGCAGACACTTAAAAAAAACAACAAAGTTTTGGCTCACTTATTAAAATGTGTCAGTGGAGAGCTGGAATAACACATACAGAAATGTGGTGCTGTCAACCAAACTGATAACGTATTTAACTTAATCTCTATCTTAATCTTAATCTTTAAGGTCTGTGAAGCAGCACCAGAAACAGGTCCATGTAAGGCATTTGTTCAACGTCACTTCTATAACTCCTCCTCAATGAGCTGCGAGGACTTCATCTATGGAGGATGTGGGGGCAACCTGAACAACTTTAAAAATGAGGAAGAGTGTATGCAGAAATGTCAGACTTAAGGTGAAGAGTGACATACAAAACACAACATGTTTTTGACACATCTTGGAGCGCTGGAGTTGTCTCATGTTGCTTTTAAAACTCATGAAGGTTTTGACTGCCTGAGCTCCTTTAAAGCTGTCAAATGCTGCTGATTGTCACTAGACATGTGATACACCATGTGTCCGTGCACATTTACAGAAAATGCCCACCCAGATATGATAAAAGCATTCAATTTCTTTTTGCTCTTTTAACAGGAACAGGACAAACAGGACAAGATGACTGATTGATGATTTTGTGTCGACATTCACAGAATATGTGAAATTATATCACAACAGGTCACCAATAAAACTTACTACTCCATTTAGCTGGTGTTTGTTATTGTTTATTATTTTTTAGATAGATATGGTGTCCTGACAAATTTTGACAGTGAAATGAATCATTTCACGAGGGCTATGATGCTCAAAAAATTGCATCCACCTTTTATAGCCACATCTTTCACAATGTAAGTCTCTGGGGAAATCTCTGCTTGGCCACTATAAAGGTGGCTTCAAAGTATGGAAATGCAATGCTACCAAGCCGACCAATCACAGTTCTTGCGGTCTGCATCGCTGCAACCTGTAGTTATATCTTTAGGTACACATCAGGCTAGATTCAACGTAGATTTGAAGTATAAATTTGTATAAGTTTAAAAAGTATAAGTTTCGGCTAATCCAAAAATGGGCAAAGAGGTTATCTGGACCAGGCTGTAAACATGTTTGTCTGCTGTAAAGTCAGGGATTTTAACATCGGGGTCTGTGGAGATTGACTCGCTTTTGGAGCCAGCCTTAAGTGGCCATTTGAGGAACAGCAGTTTTTGGCACTGTATTTTTCAGCCTCAGAGGTTGATTGGGAGGTTCCTGCTTGGTGCTGGTTTTGAATGTCAAGCTGGATCTGCAGCATTCACCAGGGTTGTGGACAGCATTGATAGCTGTCATAAGAATCAAGCCCCCAAGAACAGACGCTCAGTTCTGTTTCAATTGGAAATTGTTTGATTCTGTTTAGATGCACGCAGTGTGTGACCACCAGAATCAGTTTCTAGACATATTTCTTGCTTACCCAGGCTCAGTCTATGATGCCAGAGCTCATAAAAATATCACTTTGTATGTTCAATGACTTCAGAAGTGTGTCAGGTTAATGTGAACTGACACTGTTGATACACAGAGTACTGTTCATTGTTATGGAGAAGATAATAAGAAGATAAGAAGATTTGTAGATAATCAATGTCTTTTCTCAATTAAACTGTCATGTACAGTAAGGAATATGAGCAGTCATATAGATTTTTTTTATTAAGACTCATTGCACAATATCAAAATGAAAAGATACAACAAGCTGTGGGTCATTTTATAACTTTCAAATTCAGCACATTTCTTCTAACGATAAACAAACTTTAAACAGTTTCAATTTACATACAAGACTGAGCAATGGCGGCACAGTGGTGCAGTGGTTAGCCCTGTCGCCTCACAGCAAGAAGGTCTGGGGTTTGGCCCTTGGTCGTCCCAGGCCTTTCTGTGTGGAGTTTGAATGTTCACCCTGTGTCTGCGTGGGTTCTCTCCAGGTGCTCCGGCTTCCTCCCACCATCCAAAGACATGCAGGCTAGATTAATTGTTGACTCCAAAAATTGCCCTTATGTATGAATGTGTGTGACTGTTCGGGTCTGTGTGCCCTGCAATTGACTGGCGACCTGTTCAGGGTGTAACCCGCCTCTCGCCCAATGCCACCTGGGATTGGCAGAGATGCTCACAAGTCTTTGAGCAAGATTCCAAGTCAAATCTCAAGTCTCTTGTGGTTATTACGAATGCTGTATCACCTGCTGCGTTCAATCCAGGTTGCTAATAAAACTGCATTGCTATAAGGAATTCTGTAACTGTAACCTGTTTTTCATTTACAGAGCACAACCGTGTAATGTGCAATGCAATTATTGACAGTTTATTAAATACTGTAAGTCAACACACTCCCCAGACTCTTAAACCTACTGTAACGTTGACTAAATAAAACTGACATTGCATAATCAACAATAAACCTGTAACCTGTTTTTAACTTCGAGCACAACCATGTAGCCCAATGTACAATGCGTCTACAATTATTGACAGCTTATAAACTACTGTAAGTCAACACACTCCCCAGACTCTTAAACCCAGTGTAAGTTACAACTAAATAAAACTGTTAAAAGTTACATAGTCGACAATAAAGCTGTAACCTGTTTTTAACTTACAGAGTACAACCTGTGCAATACAGTTTGTTACAAGGGTGGTGTGGTGTGTGGGGACAGAGAGGACCCAAACGCAGCACTCTGAGCGAAGGAGGTTTATTTAGGGAAAAAGGGGGTTGAGGGACTGGAGCGGAGGGAGATAAGGATGCCGGGGAAACACTGGCACAGGGAAACCGACGGGACGGGAACCAGGGAACACTGGGGCCGAGGAAGGGAGGACGCAAGGGAGAACTGGGAGGACGCCGTGGGGGAAGCCCGAAGAGGAGAGGTCCAGAGGACGAGCCCAGCCGACCGAACGGAGGACAAGGGTGAGTGAACCTGGGAGGGAAACAGACGGAGAGACTGGGTTAGAGATAACGGAGACTAAGCACAGGGAAAATGTGGGAAAACAAGAAACATGACAGCCTGAACACAGAGGTGGACTACTGGCAGGTGTGGCAGGCTGACGAGGTGGCTGATGAGGTGCAGGTGCACAACCATAATGTGCAATGCAATCAATGACCGCTTAAACTACTTTAAGTCAACAATCCACTAGACTCTCAAACCAGTGTAACGTTATAAGTAAATAAAACTGTAAGGCTACATGATCAACAATAAACCTGTAACCTCTTTCCAGCCAACGGCAATAATTATCGTGATGGCAGGCAGCGGGACGTAAATAATTACGTTAATCGACCACCATAAGTTTGGCAAGTAAACAAACGCTCATTCATCTTTTCATAACGAACGACAGACAGAGTAAACCTCTCGTAGGTCGTAGCTGAAGCAAGAAGCAAGCTAACGTTAGATGGATTGGCTCCAGCCCCCAGATTATTGTGTCATTTCAGTGTATATATGGATGCCAGGAAGCGACCCGGTCCGTGTACGTTTTGTTTTTTCGTTTGAACCAATAACGAATAAACGAGAAAAACATCTTTTTTTCGTTAGTGCTGCATAATGTTACGGATCTGGCCGTTCTACAAGCTTGGCTTTTATTTTAATATGTTTACCATTCAAAGGCATTGAATGTACAATATGGCTGCAGAACATTGACTGTGAAGCCATGAGGTAAGAACATTTTAGGAGGTCCTCAAAAGAAAGTCCAAAAACATAATTACATTACTAAAAACAGAATGTCTTCTCAGGACGTCAGTCAGGCCTCTGAGGCCACATTTAAATGTTCTGGCTGATATTGTACAACTGTATGCTAACAAATACAAACAAAAGTTAAAATTCAAAAAAAGACTACTTTGGCTTTTTAGTTGAACTTTGACCTGAACAAGCAGTCTTTCCCTCCTATGTTTTATGAGAGCAGCTCCTCCCCCTATGAGTAAACACAAATTGGCATTTATGTATATATTATTAAAAAAACACATAGGCCTAGATGAGGAAAACCTTTAAAAGTTGAAGCTAACTGTGCAGAAAAGCTGCCAGCCAGAAGACCTCCTGAGCCTCAGCAAGTACAGTATGCCCGCACCTACAAAGTCAGCACTGTGGCCCTAATTGTTGATCAGGTGAACACTGGGTGGTCAGACTTCAATAACAGGTGTGGAGTCTGTGGTCAACACTTTGAGGGACACTATTAGAAATTAAGAATAATTAAGAAAGCCACATGCCATGGTTGTTGCGCTCTTTAATAGTTTTTTGCTTGAAATGAAAAGATTTAAGCATACTGTTGTACAATATCAGCCAGAACATTTTAAATATGGCCTCACACACCTGACTGACGTCCTGAGAAGAAATTCTCAGCATTGGCAGCCTTTTCTTTTATAATTTCATTATGTTCTTGGACTTTCTACAGGCCTGCTGCTATTGAGAACCTCATAAGATAAATGTTGTATGGAAAAACTTGTATGGATTCTCTTCACTTGCATGACACACAGGACATTTCTGAGGTGAGTTTGATGTCAGAGCTGCTGAGAAGCTGACAACAGTGTTAGAACCAGGTTAGAACAGAAGGGCATGCAGGTTTAACTTTGGGCTGAGGGTGAATGATGAAGATGATAACTAGGCTGCAAATAAAACATAAATATCACAAACCAAATGAAATGAACAACAATAAATCCATCTATATCAGTAATCTGGTTTCAAAACGTTTAATAGACACAGGACAGGCCTTCCTTTTAAATACTGCCACCTGCTGGTAGAAAGGGGAAACAGCTTGGTTCATTACAGTGGAAACCACATTAAATATTTATTTAATATAAAAAATATAGCGCTGACAGTAACAACTTTGCATACACAATCATTTCTTAGGTTAACCTATATTAGCCTACCAACTGTACTGCACCAAACAATGTGTTCAAAAAACGTGACTCTTGCTGTGAATAAAAACACAATATTATAGTTCATGTAAGCAGCCACTGTTGCTAACGTATTTCTCTCGGTCCAGGTTTATTTTATTTATTTATTTTCATCAAACATCACCCTGGTATAATGTTAGTGCTGCATAATGTTACAGATCTGACCGTTCTACAAGCTTGGCTTTTATTTTAATATCTGTACTCTGACTTCCGGGTCACCTGGCTCACCGGTCTTTATTTTCTTAACGTCTATCTTCAAACGGAGAAATGAAAATAGGGATTTAAAAAAAACAAAATCGGACCATTATTTGAATTTGGTTTAGTCGTTTTTGGATTTAGAAACCAAAAACGGGAGAACGGCTCTTTTTTTCCGTTTCTTCGTTTTTGCTTTAAAACGACAAACGAAAAAAAGGTGTTTTTCTCGTTTATTCGTTTTATTGGTTCAAACGAAAAAACAAACTATCAGAACGTACACGGACCCAACTGCATCAGCAGAAACTAATGGGAATCAATAACAATAACAAGAATAAGAATACAATAAGAAACAAGAATAATAATAACAGTAACAACACCGGAAACACTGGACAAACAGCGTAACTTGTTTTATTGGTGTTGGAATATAACTTGACATATTTTCTTTCATGTTGCATCTCTGTATGAGTTCAGATGAGCAGCGACGTTTCCTCATGTCGCTCAATTTGCTTTCAGGAGCTCTCCATCTGTCAAAAAGCAAAAATGCATTTAATGTTTTTATAATGTGGGTGGCAATTTGGTGTTTTTTTTGTGTTGCATTTGCATGAATAGACACAAGCTATACAGGCAGTTTTCCTTGTG